GAGGCTTTTTTTTCAAAATACGAGGAGTCGGCAGGCAGATGGGGGTGGGGAAAGCCAGGGGGAAGGGGATCCTTCCACATCTCCTCCTTCCATCCAAAATTATAACATAAAATATACAAAAGATTTTTATCTTTGCCTGCCTGACAGAGGACATTAGGCTAAAAAGGAGGACATGTCCTCCTTTTGCCTGACATCTGGCAACCCTACTTATACATAAAAAATAATGGTATTTTCCTTGAATATGTGGCTCAGGTCTAGCCATCCTTTGAATGAACCTTTACCTCCAGCTTCTCGATGGCTGACAGCTTCTCTTTCTCTGTTGCCTCCCACCTTTCTCCCGCTGGCCCTTCACCAGGTGTGCTCCGGAAAGCCTGAAGACCCGCACCTTCTCGCACGCCAGTGACACCTGGATGTTCGGAGTCACCCTGTGGGAGATGTTCACCTACGGACAAGAGCCATGGGTGGGCCTCAATGGCAGCCAGGTACTGTGCCTTTTTCACCTGAATCCATTTTAGAGCCTGGGTAGACCAGGGGTCTCCCATAAACGTATTTTGCTTATCCATCATGGTGTGTGTCTGGATTGAGGCTCGCAAAAGCTTGCCGCCGGCTGGTTGGGCTCGACCTCATGAGCTTCCCCTTCTTGGACTAGATTTTGCACAAGATCGACAAGGAAGGCGAGCGCCTGGCCCGCCCGGAAGATTGCCCCCAGGACATCTACAACGTCATGTTGCAGTGTTGGGCGCACAAACCGGAAGACCGTCCCACCTTCGTGGCCCTGCGCGACTTCTTGCTGGAGGCAAGTTTGGGCAAGGGGGAAGAGAAGGGAGAGATGAAGGACGTGGGCCACAGGCCCAGAACAAAGATAATGTGCGAAGGAGCGGCTTGGAGGTCAGGGAACCTGGGAACGAGGACATTGAGGTTTATCCAGCGGTTGACCTTTACGGGAGTAGCTACCTGGCAAATTTCTGGCCAAGGGTGTAACCATGTTACTCTGTTGTAGTAAAAACAATGAAGAGGCTATCCAACGGCCATCAGGGTTTAATGGTGGCTTGTGACACAGGTGGTTTGAGCAAGCCATGTTTTCCCTCTTCAGATGAACTGTGCATTGTGGTTTGCAAGAAACCTGGAAGTCAGTTTAGAAATATCTGGTCCTAGAGGGAAGCTGTTATGTGCCAACAGGGCTTGCGACTGCTTGGCTTATGTACGGCAAGAATCCCCCCTATCTGTGGGATCTGTTTCTGCTGATTCACTTACTTGCTTCCTGAAAATACAGTGGTGCCTCACTTAACGGGCGCTCCGTTTAGCGACTAAACCGCATAGCGACGATGTTTTTGCAATTGCTTTTGCGATCGCTTTGCGATGTTCCCTATGGGGGAAATCGCTTTGCGATGATCGGTACCCTATTTTGCTTACCAATCATCACAAAGCGATGGTTTTTAACAGCTGATCAGCGGTTCCAAAATGGCTGCCGGGCAAACAAAATGGCCACCCACTGTGTTGCCTTGCTTTAGAGGCACCGAGAATCGCCACCGCAATGGAGGATTTTCACTTAAGGTTAGTTTTCAAGCCCATAGGAATGCATTAAACAGGTTTTAATGTGTTTCTATGGGCTTTTTAAGATCGCTTAGCGATGTTTTGGGTTAGCAGCGATTTTTGCTGCATGGATTAATATCTCTAAGCGAGGCACCACTGTACTAAATCCTCCCTAGTAAGTTAAAAAAAGAAGTCTTAGTCCATGTGGCGCAAAATCTGGATCCAGAAAAACAGGATCCGTGAGCCAGCGTGAAAAACGCCAATATGTGTCAGCCTTTCACAGCTTGGTTTTTTGGGGGATTTTTTTTGCTGCTTCAAAAGGAAAGGACAGGGAGGTGGGCAGGATATTGAAGCATCCCCTCCCGCTGGTAGGAAACCCTTCTGCCGTTGGCATTTTCTGCCGACATTGCTGGCAATTATTGTTGTTGTTGAATTTTACTTACTGACCTACTTACTTACTTACTGCCCTCCTGTGGAAGACAGGAGGGCCTGGCGGGCTCTGGTCCATGGGGGTCACAAAGAGCTGGACACGACTTAACGACGAAACCACAACAAAACAACAAAGCAACAAAATAACGACATCAGTACATTAAGGGCGCAAATCGGAAGTCATAAAGTGCGGTGAGGATAAAATTGCAATACAATAAATACAATTAAAAGGGTAGGAAAAAAAATAAGAACATGGAGCATGACTTTAGGATAGATGTGATATGATCGGGCACTATGGTATCAGGGTGTTGTTTGTTAGGGAAAGCCTGTCTAAATAGCCAGGTTTGGAGCAGCTTTTTTGAAACGGCCAGGCAAACTTTGGGCGGAAGAGAATTCCGTAATTGTGGGGCTATCGCTGAGAAGGCCCGGTTTCTAGTGGTTCTTTTCCAGCCCATCACGGGGTTAGAACTCTCAGCCGCCCTGCCTGTGACGACCTTGTAGGGCAGGCAGACCTAACTGGAAGGAGGTGCTCGGCCAGATATTGAGGTCCCAAACCGTTTAAGGCCTTTTAGGTTAGTACCATCACTTTGAAACTGGTACGGAAGCGAACAGGTAGACCGTGTAAGGGCGGCCGAGGGTGGGGGTTATAGGTTGGTATTTTCTTATCCCACTCAGCAAATCTGGCTGCCATGTTCTGGACCCACTGCAGTCCAAAAGGGCAGCCCCGCAGAGTCATGCCCATCTTTGATGCCATCAGACTTAGGAGCTTGAAATGATGTGGGTTTCTTTTTTAAGAATCGGAAACTGAAAAAAAAAAAAGGAATTCTGGGCCCAAAACAATGTTCGGTGGTATCTTTGCATCGATTCTCATAGGGGTCTGGCATCCATGTCGCCTTGAATCTGGTGAACTGACTTCTTTTCCTCCTTCTGCTCCTGCTGGAGGTTGAATGTTCTCATGGTGTCTCTGAGTTTGGATGTGGCCGCTCTGTGAGCAGGGTCGTGGCTGGCACCCAAACTTTTCTCTAAAGGTTTTCACCCAGAAGGTTTCCACCCTTCTTGCCTTTCTTTTCTAATTTGTTTTGCCTTAATTTTCCACTTCGCCTCGTAGGACTGAAGCGTTCTGGCTTTTTTTGCACTTCATGCATCTTATCGTTTCTTGGATTGGTTTCATTTGCTTTCGTGATTTCTCACAAGTCCCTTCTTGACCCGGGAGATTCTGAACGTCTTCAAGTCAATGTGTAGCCTGCATCATTAAATGGTAAACTATCCGGAGAGAGCTTTAAGCACTATAGGGCAGTATATAGATATAGTACATATATACATATGCACACATGCATACATACATAAATCCTTACATGCATGTATACATATATGCATACATACATGCGTGCATATTTCTTTGACCTATATCCTGCTCCCATTAGTGCTGAGGCACTACTCTGGGTGGTTGCACCAAATAGAATACAAACCAAAAAATAAAGTTAAAAGCAACTTACAATTAACTCTTAAAAACAAATGGCACAGACCAATCTTATAAAAACTAGCTCGGATGGAGGAAAGGGAAGAGGGAGAAAAGGGAGCAACTAGAGTCGGTGAAAAAGCCACATCTTTAGTTGTCTCCTAATGATCAACAACATTGGAGCCACCACAAAGAAGACCCTGCCTCTTGTAGAAGACTTATGGGCCTCCCTTGAGGAGTCTATACTGAGATGATCTTGTGGGTTGGGTGGAGGACATTCAGGAAAGACACCCCGACAAGCAACAGGGACCAAAACTTTGCTTTAAATCCTTCCCTCTGGTGCCTCCCCCCTCCCCTTTACATTTGTTGTTGTTTAGTCATTCAGTCGTGTCCAACTCTTCATGACCCCCATGGACCAGAGCACACCAAGCCCTCCTGTCTTCCACTGCCTCCCGGAGTTTGGTCAAAGTCATGTTGCCACCTGCTCTACCTGGAGCAGGAACTTGCAAGCTACTCCAGCATCTTGGCCAAGAAAACCCCTTTTACATTAGCCCGTATTAAAAAAACCCCAGGCCCATGTTATCTAGAATTCTGCAACTCAGGATGTGTTTTCGCTTGTTGTTGATGATGACGGGCCCATCGTGGAGCCAAGCGGAGATGTGTAATTCAAAGATCCAGGAGAACCCATCATTCGGGGCCTTGATGTGGCTGGAACGGGATCAGCCCCATCGCTTCTTCCGTCTCCCGCTTGATTCATTCCTCCTTTCTTTGACCGTGTCTGCCGGTTCCAGCCGTGGCCTCTTTTTGGGGAGGGAGAAACAGCTGGGCAAGGGGGGGAGATAGTGCCAGATTTCTGTCACCCCAAATCTGCAAGGTTCAGGCTGAGTCATATCCTTGTGAAGCCTCCTCTTCCGCCCCCTCATTTTTCACCTCTCTCCCTTTTTCTCTCCTTTTCTTCCAGGCTCAGCCCACGGACATGCGGGCCCTGCAAGACTTCGAAGAGCCGGACAAACTCTTCATCCAGATGAACGACATCATTACGGTCATCGAGGGCAGGTATCCGGCCTCGGTCATGGGGAAGGGGGCCTGGGGGGGGACTGCTCGGAGCTTCGGCTTTGATAGATCCCTGAGTTAGAAAATTCAAGCCTTTTCAAATGGGAGTTTACGAGATCGTGAGCGCCTGCTCCCCGGAGCCCGTGACTTGGGTCCCTGGAGATTTGAAAAGGAGTCTCAGGATTTTTTTCCCCCTCTCATCATCAGGGCCTGGAAAAGTTACATTTTTTTGGACTACAACTCCCAGAATGCTATGTAGCCTGTGGCAGAGCAGGCAGTAGGAGAAGCAGACTTGCGTGCAAACTGGGGGTGTCTTGTCCACTGTTCTGTGTCCTACAGTTAGCAAACCTCGTGCAAACCGGTTGGGTAACCCGCAAGCAGGGCAGCGCAGATTTTCCCCTTTCTTGCTCCCCAGCAGCGATGTAGTGGCGCTAGGACTCACAGGGTCGAGGACTCTACAAGCAGCAGGAACTGCACCATCATCCTCCACCATGACCCAGCTTTCCCTGTTCTCTCAGAGCTTGGGAGAGAAAAGAATTTCCCAGAAATCATATAGTGTTACAAGACCGCCCTGTTGCAATGCAAAATCCATGAGGGTGTTTGAATGGATCATTAAGAACCATTGACTTTACAAAAGACATGCTCCTTGTTTGTTGATACTGACCAATCCAGTGGTCTGCTTTATTATTATTATTTTTAAATTTTTGGACTCTTCTCACGGAGGGGCCACCTGGTTATAGGGACTCTCATGATGAGCCACCTGGACTTCCCAGTTGACCCCTCCCCTGCCCCTCCCCAGAACCCGGGATTTCGAGGTGTACTTCCTTTGATTTTTGCACATGGCATCCAACCAGGGCCAGCCCTACGGTGAGGCCGAGGGAGACGGCAGAACGGAGGGACATCACAAAATGACAGCAGATGGTTTTGGCTGGAATCTTGCTGCTTAGCATATGCCGCCAGTGGCAGCTGGAGGAGGGCTATTGAATCAGTGGAGATTTGGTGAATCTGCTCCTCCGTAAATTCCACTAATTCAGTGGGCCTACTCTAGTTGTGGCTTACTATACTCTGAACAATGGGGTTTCAGCCGTTGCTGTGTTTCTGCTGTCAGGGAGATGTAGGATAAAGGTTACTCGTGTGTCGCCTTGGTCAAGTCACTTATCTCCTTGCTTGAGCCCTTCGTTTGTGGCTTCCTTTATTCAGTCAATCCATCTCATGTTCCGTCTTCCTCTTTCCCTCCAACCTTCCGCTTTCCCTTAACATGGTCGTCTTTCCCAGTGATTCTTCTCTGACCACGGTGTGTCCAAAGCACAATTGCTGCTGTTTAGTCATTTTCCAGTTACTTTCTATTCATCCAGCATTTTTTTTGCTAGAACTTGGCAAAGTTACTTTTTTTTTTGCATAACGGGTTCCCAGAATCCTTCAGTCAGCCTGGTTAGTGGGCATGAGGCTTTCTCTGTGTGTTTGTGTGTGTTTATGTGTCTGGGAGCTAAGAGTGCAAAAAAAGCAGCTTGGTCAAGCTGTGCCAGGTGGCTTTCAAAGTGTCTGTCCTGAGTTCTCCTCTAGAGTCGCCAGTGAGAGGGATCA